AATCTGTTTGCATACATATAACTTTTAATTAATTGAGTATTTGACAAAGTGATAAATATTTCACAATTACGTGATATGAAATGATTCCTAACTATTTGCAATTCGTTACAAATAGAACGCTGTGCGTTGTCGTCATGATAAAAAGCAACACATACTAATCGGCGTCAGAGCAACGAAGACTTTAATAACAATGTAACTTTTTTTGCAAGATTCTTACTTTGAAAGTGTTTTATGCATTTTCAGTTTGACATTGACATGTAAATTTCTCACAGAATGATCAAAGTTTGCAATAAATGTACTATTTAATGTGGAGCTTTAATTAACAAATTCAATATCTAACTTTTAATTTCATTTATCCTGTTTCTTTATAAGATAAAATATTTCGATTGTAAAATGAGAAGAGTTTAATTATATTTGTATTTTCAATCGATGTCGTTATTTTTACAAATGTTTAGCAATAATAATAATAGTCACAAGAAAAGATTATAAACAAAGATTATGACAAGTGATTCCCTGTCTTTCGAGTATACGAAAGTAGTTTCAAATTGTCCTTTGACCTTTGTTTTCGTTTTCTACAAATTGTTAAAATGCTGCTTGTCATAATGTTAAAATATGCCTTTGTCTTGATAATTTGCATTTTTAGTTTTTAATTATTTTTAAAAAAATTTATATCGTTGGATTTAACAAATTAATAACAAAGTGATATTAAAATCAATGAAACTCTATGCATCTTGAATATCTCTATTGTCGGAGATTTGGAAAAATTTTGTTTAACGTAAATTATTTAGTATATAAAGGCTGCCATAATAATTCTTTTTGTAAATGGAACGATATACTTTTCCGACGAAGCTTGAGATTCTCTATAAAAAATAGTATTAACTCACATATTGAGAAACTGTTGATTTTTATTAAAGGAGATATCAAGGAGATATTTTAACTTCAATCAAAATTTGTGAAAGATAGGAGCGGTGGAATTTATTTGAAATTTCTGGAATTAAAGTTAAAGTGACTAAATTAATGAACTAAATTAAAGCAACTAAAGTAACTAATTAAAGTAACTAAATTAATGAACTAAATACTTTTTTTTCCTTTATAGAGAATTAATGTCGAGCTGCATCGATTAATGGGTGGAAAAGTGTATGATTCCATTTAAAAAAATTGGAAATGATTTTGAAACCTCCGAAACCTACAAAAAAAACAGTCTCAACAAACAAAGTTTCCTTCATGTTTTCAGAAATAATGCTGATACCTTCAAACACACAACAGTTTAAAAGAAAAGCTCTACGAACATTTTCGAATCCTTGTTCACCATCGCTCGCTGGAAGATCATCGCCAAGATCGCTCTCCGTTAAACCGCTATTTGTATCGCTTTCAAAATGTCTCGAAGCAGCGAGCAAAGGGTTGTTCTTCACCAATCCACTAACTTCTCGACCAGGAGGAGTCAGACTTATTTCCGGCTCCTCGACGATTTTCCTTCTAGCCTTTTTGCTATGCAGGTACAAGGACACGCTGGCGACGTAGATCAAAGCAAGGATCACGGACGAGAGACCAATAGCCGTGTATTCTGTGGCGGAAAGGCCTTGGGAAAGTTGTGTCGTCGAAGAGAACATCACTTCTCGAACGTCTGAAAAAGGACATTTTGAATTACACGGTAATTGAGTTTTTTTTTTTTTAAATTCTGCAGACTCTATCATGTGATAGGACGATGAGGAAAAATAGGAGCAATATTCTGTGTCCTTGTCTTTCATGCATAGATTTCATGCAATTAAAGTACAAATATTTCTTGAAGTAACAATTTTCCGATATATACATGAATTAGTATTCTTTTTTTTTATAAAGAATTAGATAAAAAAATAGATTATTCTATTTAAAGAACTGAAGATGATCTTCATAACAATATTTCATCTGAGATTTTTTTCGTACAGTGAATTATTTCAAGACGTAACGAGACTCGCTATAAAAAATATGTTTGTGAAAGATATTTTATTACTAAAGGACCAAAATAATTTTGACTAATTAAATAAAAGAAAAAAAATGAATAACTACATTTGCCTTTTTATTTAATATAAATGGTGAAAAATGATTATAAAGACATTATGAAGATCATTTCAACTGAAAATGTGAGAACTAGTAAATGGTATAAAATACAATAGTAATGCAGTAAATATTTTCAAAGTGTGAATATGGATATCTAACTTTGAAGTTACACGATATTATAAAGGGCAGTATGAAAGTTAATGTAATGATATATCATACAACAGTAATATTAATAATAATAATACTAAATTATCAAATTATGAAATTAACAGACAATAATAAGAGTACTAAATAAATATTAATATAACAGCAATTTAAATTAAACAAAAATATTCTGTTCTACAGCGAAAATGAAATTATTACTTTCTATACGGTTTTACATATATCCAAAGTTTTATGGAAAAGTTAATATCCATTTGATCACGTATGAACAATGATAATGAACAAAGTGAAAATACAAAATACGACAAATTTTCCAGCCACGAATACCGACTACTTTTAGATGGTGAACCGGCCACCCTGAATGCCACGCACGGGGTGAAGACACCAGAAAGCTTTGACTTTGGCGAGGCGTCTCTGCAAACGAGTTTAGCCGTCACCACTCGGCCTTCAGCTGCCGCTCTTAATCCGGTTTCGCCGATCCACTGAAATACAATTATTCAGTTAAAAAATGTATCTGTCTAATTCAAACTGACAAACATTGTGCACAGTTCACGTACGTTGTTTATGGGCATTTATGAGAGGTTCCAATCATATCTTTCAGTAAGATTGCTGTCGCGTGCAATTTGTGGGACTCCGTTTATTTGAGTCAAATTAAATGAGATCTTTCTGCTTGAATCTACTT